GACCAAACTCCAGCTGAGGAAGAAATTCAGTCAAACTCGGCTCCTGCCAGATCCATGCCTCAGAGCGATGATGTGAATGCAGCTGAAAACCCAGCAGACAACAAGATTGTTGCTGTTGATAATATTTTCAAGTCACAGGTAATGAGTCCTTTTCAGTTGTTTTTTATCCAATGGCTTAGTTAAAGCTCAACTGTTCTCACTCTTTTCTCCTTCCTTCAGAGATCTCATGAGACGTACCGCCTGCTGAARAGAAGGAACCTAATCATTGAGGCCATTCGTAACTCCAAAATAATCGAGGGCCTTTTCCCGTCAGTCCGTTTGAGATTTTGTCAAACTTTAATATCATTTTATTGCAAACTCAGATGAACAAAAACATGGCAAAATCTCTTCATGCCAATTTATTTGAAAAATTTTTTACAGGCTGCAGAAATTGATCAACGATGAAGAAAAGCTGAATGGTTTCACTACAAGATGTTGCAAGAAGACTATTTTACGCCTCGTCCACACTCTGTACAGAGAAGGCTTGCTTAAGATTTACACAACCACTATTATACAGGACGGGACCAAAAAGAAGGTGCGAGCTCTGCRCTTCATACAGACTCAAAAACAAGAAGGAAGGGAAGCATTTGATGCCAGAAATGATTAAAAATGAAGCATCTTCAAGTTRTTTCACAACAAATATTGAAATGACTACATATGATCATTTTTGATTTAAAATGTATTTTATGTCCATAACTGTACATTGTAATTTGTTGTGTTTTGAACAACTTACTTCACTTGATTCTGTGCAAAGATGAGTAAAAACGAGCACAATATAAACTGTTGTTATGATTGGTTTAGTCACAAACTAACTCTTCTGTCTGCCCTGGTTTTTGCTGCACGTGTAGGTTGACATGTTCGTTCATCCGTCCATTCAGCCCAACGATGAGAGAGTGAGCCAACTAATCGAGCACATTCGGTTCAAAATCTCCAGTTCGGCCTCAGCTGTACGGTAAGCAGAAGCAGCATACTCAGAAAACTTTATTGTATTTCTTTGTTCAGGAGAGGATTTAATAAAATTTTTATTTATTTATATATTTTTTACATTGAAGACAACAGGCACTGTGAAGCAGTTGTTGGATATAAATCAGTATAAGAACAATTAATAGTCCCACATAGTTAGTTTTTTGTTTGTTTTTTGAAAAGGGATGTTAATCTCAAGGGACTTCCTAGTTAAATAGTTTTAAGAAAAATAAATACATTTATTGGAAAAATATGTATTTTGTGTTGGTAAAGTGAAAAAAAAAAAACGGATTTTGAACTTTGGCATAAAACATGGAAGCTCGGTGGTCAGTGTTGTGGTCTTATAACTGAGGCTACAGGTTCAAGACCAGGTGCTTCAGGAAAAGCATCTGGCATAAAACAGTTGCCATATTTTTTACACAAATTCACCCGCTGTGGTGACCCCTGAAGAATGGAGCAGCCAAAATAACAATGAACTTCAGCATGAAATATAAATTCTGCTAAATAAGATTTTGTAGCCGCACAAATCAAGTGACAAAATGCTGCTGATGTGATGCATAAATTTAGTTTAAAATATTTGTGCTACTTTGTTTTTGTTTTCTCTTTCATTCCTCAGTTTGCAGCAGAGTGAAGATAAAGCCAAAGAAAAACAAAAAGAAAGTCCAACAGCTCCTAAAACACAAAAGAGCAAAGCTTCCAAAAAGCTGGGAGGTGGAAATGACAAAGACTTCAAGCCGATAAAAGGTTTGTTTTTACTGAACCATTGAATACATATAAATACTCTGTTTTACCAGAGAGTGTTCTACAAAGCATAATCAGACCTGTAAATAATCAACCAGTGGTTAGTTTGTCTTTACATTAAATGAAAAAGCAAAAATGATCCTTTCTTAAAAGATATTACAAACCTGAAAATGTTGTTTTTCCACCTCTTTACTTGCTTCTCTCTGTCTGTAGTTAGTGGACTGGGGAAGACTTTGGGCTTCCAAACCAAGATGCAGCGTCTGCGTGTGATCCATACCTTCCTCTGGTACCTTATTTACGATCACCCACTGAGAAGCCGCTTCGCTGAGGCAAACCCGGACAGTAAAACACCAGCAGAGCGGATCAGCTCCGGTTCTGACGTCAAACCTTCAGACGGTGACGCGCAGCAGGATCTGAAGGAAACTGAAAGTCCTGATGTGTCTAAACTGGAGGAAAGCTCAGGTGATGAAGAGGAGCTGCTGAACGATGCATCGCAGCCTGATCACTCGAACATGAAAGGTCAGAGAGCGAACGCTGGAGAAACTGCTTGTAATAATGTAAAATTGTTACAGTGTGTGTGTTGATTYGTCTGTTAGCAAAATATTTCATAAACTAGTGACCAGATTTTAATGAAACTTTCAGAAAGTAAGAATTGAATGGATATAAAACTACATCTGATTACCTCATTTCCACCACAACTAACCAGCCTTTAACAAATGTCTGTAATTCAGTTACTTTTTCAGATATTGAGCTAAAATTTGGTTTGTTTGAAGCTGAAACTCATTCCCATCACACACTCTTGAATATTTACACATTGAAGGAGATTTTTGCTAATAACTTTGGTTTGCGCGGCAATGGGTATATATATATTTTTAAAGAAATACTTCATTTATTTCATTACAACTTTCATTTTATTTTTTTTCTCGTTTTGGTGTCATTTCTGCATGTTTTCTTATCACTGTCTTAACCCTGTCTTATACAGATGGACATCAAACAATTTTTTTCTCATTTACAATTGTTTATTTTCCTGAAACATTCTGTGTTTCTGTGATAGTATACGCTGATGAGGACTCGTGGAAGAGATTCATCCCTCCTGTCCGTGTACGCAAGGATTTTTCCAGCGGCTGGGCGATGGTTGGCGACATTCTCCTCTGCCTGCCTCTGTCTGCTTTTGTGCAGTTCACTCAAATCACTTACATGGTAAGACCAAATATTGCTTTTTTATTTTTTACTTTAAAGTCCATCCTACTAACAAGGTGTGCAGAAAGAGTTACCTATCAATTTAAGTAATATTTTGTCAATATTTCTTATTTTCCAGTGTTGATTCTTGTAAAAAAAAAAAAATCACACAAATGATGGTCAAAACTTCCTCAAATTGTTTGAAATTGCATATTTTAAAATAATCTTTAATAAAGAAGTTGTCAGATGAATGCTAATATGTTAGAGATTGATTTACCTTATATCAAAAGTGTGAAATAACATCAAATTTTAAATAAGCTACATATTAATAAATATTTAGTTTGTTGAAATGGAATAAGTCCAATAAACCACAATTCAGTTTTACTTTAATTCCTGAGATTTGAAAACTAAGCTTGTTTTCCCCTTTGCTTTAGTAATCACATAAATGTATTATTAACTAGTGCTGGGATCTTGATCACTATTGGCTTTAGATGTCCTTCGTTGCGTCTCATCCAATGAGAGCCTTTGTTGTCAAGCTGTTACGTTGCAACTCACAGCCGCTCTCATGGACCCGACCGAGCTGCAGTCGGGCAGAAACATGGCGGAAGTCACCAGATTCTTCAGGACATATTTATTTTAAAACTTTTCCCAATGGCGGGCTGGAAAGAAGTAAAGTTTTTTTCTGTAAACACTGTGACACTGAACCATCAGTGGAGCAGTTCGAGCCTGAAATATCACTTCAGTTTAAAACCAGACGACGCTGGCCATTGTGTTAGAGAAGAGGAAAAAAAGAAAAAAATAAGACTGGCTTGCTTTGCCTTGTTTAATGTTTTTGAAAATGCATTTCCTCTTTTTTAATATAAAACAGGACCTAAAAAATTCTCTTAACATCTTTGAGAAATTTTATGCGGAAAAATGAGGTTAAAGTGCCTGTGACATCATTTTTTTTGTAATAAAAATGATTGTATTTTTGGAAGGATAACACTATTCACATATTGTAAAAAATGTTTCACGCCACTGAGATGAACAGTTGTTGAGATATTTGCATGTGGAGTAACAGGAAGTGATGTCAAAGGGGAATGTCTGCATGTGAACAGAGCATTGCTAAAATGGCTAACAACACAGACTGTAGAGAAGAATCTGACATTTCTTTATATTTTAATCACTATCAGAGAGAGATGAGGAAGAGTCAGAGTTCAAATAACATTGTTTAAATAAACAAAAACCAGAGTTTTGTTTCTTGAAGAGTTCCCCTTTGATGTCACTTCCTGTTTCACTTTAACTGAGCCAAATTTCAAAAGAAAATATCCAGTTATATGATATAACGAGTAAAATAATGTATTATGCCAACTTTCTTAAATATAAATATATTTTCTTTGACTCTTTGTTGTATTTCATAGCTGTGCATGTCACAGGCACTTAAAATCAGGAATTTAAGTATTTTTTTGTTTGTTTTTCATCCAAAATGAGTACAATGTGAGGAATGAAAGATAGATACTGAGGTCACAGTTAACAAAAATAAATAAATAAARCCATAAGAAGATAAAACATGGTACATAGTGTGTTACAAATGGAGTGTATTGCAACATATAAACCGACACRTTCAGCCCTAGTAGAGTTATCGTTTCTAAAAAATCAATTGTGATTAATCGCAAAAATATYTTGAGATCAAACACATTAAAAATTTCCTGAAACAGTCTGTGTTGCCCAGCACTATTATTAACTCTTGCTGCATTTCATGAATATATAGCAGGCACCATGCCAGACCTTACAACAAGCATATGATTTCTGTCCACAGGTGGATGGACTGGAGGAATACGTCAGTGACTCCGTGAAGCAACACTACCTCCTTAGATCGCTGCCCGCAAAAACCAAAAGACAGCTTCTTTATAAACGGTGACTGTCTGTGTTTGTATTTATCCTCTGAAACATCCATATATTTTAATGTGAAAACTAAAGTTAAACRTGTTCTTCTTTTAGGAAATACATCCACGTGTTTTTCGAGAACCTTCAAAAGCTGGTCTACATGGGTCTGCTGCAGTTCGGTCCCATAGAGAAGTTTAAGGAAAAAGATCAGGTATCAAAGAACTTCACATCAACTCTGAAAGATATTAAGTATTAAAAACACACAGTTCATTTTGTCAAAATGTTGGATTTAAAATTATTAAATGGGAAAAACACTTTATTAATTCTTCCCCACAGAATTAGCTTCAATGTTTTTAGATGTGTTTTATACTTAACTCATAAGTAAATATTAAATTTATTCTCCGTGAATCTAAGAATTGAAAAAATAATTTGTTTAAGCTTGGAAATTTGGCAATAATTGGTTAGCAAGTGTAATTTTGTGTTTTAAAAGAACTCTTACTTTAAATTTAATTGTTCTTTTTAAGTTTTCTCAGTCTTTTCACCCCCCTGCAGGTGTACGTGTATGTGAAACGCAATGCCACCATTGTTGACACCACCAGCTGTGAGCCTCACTACTGGCAGGCCACAGAACCACCCGACAAACCTTTTGAGACTCGTCATTACTCGTTCAGCACCTTAGAGGATGTGGAGCGCTACTGGTTTGACCTGATGTGTATCTGCCTCAATACACCACTGGGTACAATTATGAAAAGATTTGCTCATAAATTATAATAGATGATCATAATGATGATGAAAAAATGTGATTAACCCTTTGCTTTTTAAAAAAAATTGTTTAAAGGGGTGATTCGTAGTAAAAGAACTGCCACAGGAGATGATTCTCCTCCTCCCGTTGTGCACGACCGCTACGTGTTTACACATCTGGCACACATGCTACAGTAGGTGGA